TCACATTTGATCACAGCTGACCTCTTTCACATATAGCACAATGATCTTATTTTAATTGTCCAAGCCTCAAACTCAGAGACTTAAAATATATTCTTCTGTTTCCAAAATACAATGAAATTCTACAGCCACTTCATCAGCTTTATGAGGCGGTGCTAACTGGTATAGATTACCACGTAATCCTTTTGGTTTATCGCATCAGGATATAAATCAGAAACAAGTACAAATGGGAGTGAAGGGAAATTCATCATAATATTTGGTCATAAATTAGGCCTGATGATTGGCCTACAGGTAATATTTGGGGATCATAAGTCATTTAAGTTCATCAGGTTGTAAATATTTGGAGAAAATTGGGGAAAACAATCCATAAAATCACAGTTTTGTTCAAAACATAATCTGTGTATAAAAGATGGACACGACCCTCAGGTCTGAAACGTAAAGTCAGTCTGGAAACTTACATTCTTTCATACAGCCGGCAGGCAGCAACTCCTGTGGCTGCAGAGAGAATTTAAATTATACAGACGTCAATAAGAAAATAGTCTGACTCACCGGATGTAGACTGCAGGTCTCCATAAGTTTGTCATTGGCAACTTATTTCATGTGGTTTTCTCTTCACCTTCCATTATCGACATGCAACCATTTTTAAAATCTCTTTCATTATGAGAAACAACTACAACCACCCATACAAACCATTCAGAGGATGATTAGGCAGGCTATGTTTTTAGTGATCCACAGTCACGACTGTATCACTACAAAGGTTTACCTCAAGGTGGTAGTGAAGTTGTGACCAATGGGATTTATCCTCTGGGGGGCGTGAACATCTGTGTCAATTTTGTATCAATCCATCAGGTAGATGTCAAGACAGGGTACGCAAAAAACTTGAACCTGTCAATAGGGTAGGAAGAAAGGTTATTAGGTTCACTAAAATCACTGGGCGTCATCCTCTGGGGACCATGAATGTCTGTACCAAATATCCATAGTTTGAAGTTCAGTCTGGGCCAGAGCGGTGAACTGAGAGATCCATATTGCATCCTTGGAGCTGCTAGTACAACTAAGAAACTACAAGTGCCAAGTTGTGGTTGGAAAAAGTTTTGAAACAAGACACACAGACTACTTCAACTAATCAGCTCAGTATTTTCATAGTCAACAGTGAACTGGAGGTTCAACAATCCATCAATCTGCACATTCTTTGTGTGGAAAAAAGACTCACATTCTTGCTGCCAGTCTCAAAAATGAAGCAACTAATTGTCTTTTTTTTCTCATCTTTATCCTCATTGCTGGCTGTTTTCATACAAAATTGAGAACATGTTCTCAAAACTACTTCAAGTGGAAATTTCTTTTCATTCCTCTGTTAGATAGTTGCCATGCTGTGTTAGGTCTACTGTATATCCTCCTGTACTGTAACATTTGTGATACTAAAGCCTCTGTTTGGATGATTCATAACTCAACTCTTCATCTTCAATTCCACAGGCTCAGGCCGCACAGCAAGATTTATCTGATGCCATTGAGGCTTTAGATGTTTCTCCCTGAAGATGAATGCAAGGTTACTTGGCTGCCCACAAGGTTTCAGAAGTATCCCAGATGACCACATGGCAGACACACTGCTGACAATTTGTACCATTTTGATTTTAGCAAAGCAAATTATTTTTGCAGAACTGAACCACAGAAATCTGAATCATTGATCAAAACCCCACAGGTTACTCAGGAGCCATGTTTTTGTTGTTAAACTGTGTTTCTCTCGTGTTTATTTTAATGCAGGGTGAGCTAAAGTGCAATAACCTTACTTCAGGTTGGCTGATTTCACATGAAGCAGTCATTCATCAGCTCAGGTCTGGAGCAGCCCTGCAAGGCAGCAATGGTATCCGTTGTGGTAACCAGTGTGGACAGCACTAATGTAGGTTGGAGATTGTTTCCATATGGGGCCTGTTTCTAGCAGAGTTGTTCTACGTGGGTCGAAAACCGGCTTCCATTTCAGAGTTTGTCCACTTCAAGCATGCAATGTGAAACAGTGAAACAACTTTCGCACTAGCAGTCATAAACAAAACAGTGAACCTTTAACCTCGGTGGATAAATCAACCAGTTTTTTCAAGATGGATGAAGTTTAGGATGTCAAGGTTAAACAAACTGAAGAGTTGTTTTTTACCACTAGCTAGTATACTATTTAGAATAAATCATCTAAAAAATATATAATCTTGAGTTTGAGGAAAACTTTTCAAAAACAAAACCGATTAGACGTATAAAAAATAACAGAAAATGTGAAAAACAGGGACGTAAGCTTAGAATTTTAAATGGAATAACCTTTTATAAATGAGGATGATAATATAAACATCTATAAAAGCTGATTGCAACTAATACATCTGGAGTCGTGTCAGTTTAACATTGTAATTAAGCCATGCATCAATTTAAAATTCTGTTTTCTGGTCTGAGCTTTACCAATGTGATGATATGCTGTTTTCTCTATTTCACAGTATACACACAAGTGAGTACACCTGTGTGCAATATCACTTAAATGTCAAATGATTCATTGCATGACCTTTCAATAACTGCAATATTTCTAAGTTAAGCAGTAGGTATTTGCTCTTGTGTAAAATTACAAAACAACAGTTTAAATGTACGATACTATAAATAAAGGCCTCACAGTAGAAACTTAATGCAACTAAAGTCAATAATTACTGAGATTTAAATGTTTTGTCTTTTCAGTACTTAGTATGTCCACCTTTTTTGATGACAGTCAGATTTTTTTGACCAAATTCTGGACAGATGTTCTGCCATTCTTCAGGGACAATTTAAAAAAAAAATGTTATTTAATTTTTTTTTTACCTGCTCTTTGACTTTCTCTTTAAAATACCTCAAAGGTGTTCTGTTCGATCTGGGTCAAGTGACATACTCAACCAGTTCATAGTTTTCCCTTTGTTCTTCTTAGGAAAATCTTGTATGGTTTTGGCAGTGTGCTTTAAATTGATATTATGTTGAAATATTCCTCTTCTGCATCACTTCTTCAAACTGACACTCATCTTGGGGCGGCTGTGGCGCAGGTTGTCCTACAGTCACAAGGCTGGTGGTTCGATCCCCGGCCCCTCCACAGTCAAAATGTCCTTGGGCAAGACACTGAACCCGAAGCTGCTCCAGATGGCAGGCAGCACCTTGCATGGCAGCTCTGTGGCCACTGGTGTATGAATGTGTGTTTATGAATGGGTGAATGAGAAACACATAAGTGCTTTGGATAAAAGCGCTACATAAGTGCAGACCATTTACCATCTTGTTAGCCAGTATACATGCATTCATAGTGCCATCGTTAAATGTCACCTCCTACCAACTTTTGTAATCATGCAGCCCCATACCATCACACTCCACCTCCATGCTCTACTGTTGGGACTATTCACTGTATAAGGTTCACACTTGGTCTCATCGGAACAACGGAGCTTCCAGTCTTCTTTTCATGTTCAAGTTTCACCTTGCAGTTTTGTTTTTTTTTATTCTGAGGAGTAACCAAGTTTATTTTTTCTTTTTTTTTTTTTTCTTGGAAGTCATCCATTGAAGTTAATATCATGCATGTTGTACAAAATAACTCCTTTGATAACCTCTGTGCCAACTCTTAAGCACTTGCTTACATTTTTCAGAACTAGATTGTCAAAGTAGTGCAATGTCTGGCATCACTGTGCTAGGATATCCTCTGTGGCTCTGATTAATGGTGATATGACTTTTTCTGTACTTCCTGATTATTGCTGCAAATGTGTTTCAGCTAATTTGACTTAGTCACTGATCTTCTTGTGTAGTTACACAGCACTGTGTCACAATCTGATTTTTTATTTTTTTTTCACATTCTCTGGCAATTCTGTTCCATGTGAAGCCATGATGCGGACATGTACATAGACACAGCTCATTGGTTCAGAGTAGAGAAAATTGTGGCGCTGACAGATCATGTTTTAACCATGTTAATGCATTTAGGCTGGTTGGAAATCACCGGTGTAGTCAAAATTGTTTCAATGATAAGTTTTCTAGCTTGTGTGTCTATGATCACAGACGTATTCACTTTTGTTTCATTGAGTTTGAACCTTGTGGCCTGTATGGCCAGTGTTCATAAGACAATACACTCGACTTGTCAACTTGGAAATAATCAAATTATTGAGAGGTGATGCCATTTTAAATAATTTGACATTTGAGTGATACTGCACAGGGATTTGCTCACTTCTGTTGTGTACTGCATGTGCAGTAATTGTAAACTGAACTTGGGTTGTGACTGCTCGATGGAAAACAAAGCACATCTTAAAACATCACCTCGGGCTCTGGAAAACAGGTATGTTTGTTCTCTGGCTCCAGCAATTATTTGATTCAACAGTCAATCAAAAGAACGGACAGATTAGTCTACACTTGATGTTAGCTGCAGCTGTAAAAATGTGTATCTTAACCCATAAAGTGTGTGGTAAGCAGAATCACATTTTACAAGTCTGATGGTATCATTTGAGTTATTCCACATCTTATGGGCTCTGACTCATATTTTATTTAACTCTGTATAGATTTCAGAGCAGAACCACATGAGCATCACAGACTGACAGATTAAAAGGATTTGATATAGCTAGGTGTGGGCCAGCCTTACAAGTCATGGGTAATATTGCATATTTCCTGCACATAACATTAACATTTTGGAAAATATGCCATCTTTTATCTCTTTAAATGAAGTCAAGTACTCTCCCTCCCCCATCTGCATAATAGGGCAATGACAGTAATGTGCCACTTTTAGATCATCGTAGTCTCTGAAGTGTGCTGGAAGTGTTTTGTACTTGATTTGTCAGAATAAAAGACTCTTTATCTCAATAGTAATAATTACCCTTCGTAACGCTCCCCCCACTTCCGTTTTCCTTTCCTCAAACACTTGTCTCATTTCCCACCCCTTCACTCCTCAAACAAGCCTCTATCCGGCCCACTTCTGTCAGAGCAGACCCTTTGACCTCCCTGTGTTCCCTCGCTGAAGCGGCCCGGCTGTGTGGTGTAGACGTCTATACTATATGCATGGCTGCCCGAGCTCGACCCCTGCAGTGGGCTGCCGCACCAAAGTCCACGTTCCAGAGTTTACAGCGCTCCTGCAGCGATTCTGGCATGGCTTCAGAGGATGACAGCCGATTGTGGGGGAGCTTCAACTGGAAGATGTGTCCAGAGGTCCAGCGTCCTGCCATGCCGGGTCTCAGGTGTGCAACATTTCATAGATATGTGTTCTTTTTGTTTACCCCCAGTTTCTTTTTTGTGCATCCTGGGTGAATTAGCAGTTCATGCAGCAAAGACTGGGGACTTATGTAAACTGAGAAGGTTTATGGAGGAATGTCAGCTACATCTAAACGCACTGGGGGAAAAGCATAGGATTATATTTAACTATGTAAACACGTTATTATCTTATCCAGTATGTGCCAGCACCAATTAGACACATACTGTAAATGTGAACAGCGACGGAGTGGTAGAAGAATACCTTAATTAATTCATTTAGTGATTAAAAGGTTCATTTGATGGCATGATTTTCTGTATTTTATTCCATCTTATCCTCTCCTATATTCTTGTCAACAAATCCCACGATTATTAGTCTTTGGTGCTTCAGTAGCTCATGGGTTTTTTAATGGTTTTTGAGCAACACTGGAACTCCTTGGCACAGAATAATAAACTAAATCAGGCTTTGGACGCACAGCCAATACTTTGTAGATGGATCCATTCATTGTTGGTTTTGGTCTTTTAATGGGATTTGCCGACAAGACAAATAAGAAAAACTCTTTTAAATCACTATAGTTTAACCTTTAACTATAAGGAATAAGATCTCTAATTATAGCTTCCCCATGTGCCTAAAGCAAGAGCCGTAAAAAAAACAATTGTTAGTGAGGACCCAATCCCCTTTGACAAACATAATTTGACTAAGGATTTGTAGTCAATATGCAAGAACTGAACAAATATTTTACCGGTACAATCTTCTGTAGCAAAGGCGCGAGGTGTGTAAACCAGATAAATGACTCGACAGACATCCAATTTCAATGGTTTATGCCAGAGTAGTAAAAATGACAACTGCTAGGCTCCTGTTTGCTTTCCTTATAATATTTAAATTTTACATTGGTCTTGCAGAGCCATGTTCTGCTGTGCCACACAGCGCTGAATGCCAACTGAGAAAATTGGGAATAGTCACTCAATATTTCCAATCTTTGTTGAGTAACTGAAAATATTGGGATTTGTGATTATAGTCATTGTTGTAATATTGATTCATGTAAGGCGGCAGCAGCAATTTCACTCATGTGGAACCATGGTTTGAAATACAGTTCTCAACAAAGGGCAAACAGTTACTGACAAAGCAATTTTCCACTCAAGGTCCCCATAATACATTAAGTAAGGTCTAACTTAACCCCATAGATCATGGCATGAAAACCGAATTATATTTTGCTAGCTGGATGCCTCCCATATGACAAGGCTGTAATTACAATGGACTATAAATAAAAAAGGCTTTTCAACACAGTATGCATAGTCATGTAAGAAACTTCTACTAAGTAGAGCAGAAACACCTGAGAAGCAATTGACCTTTGCTTAATCATTCTTCTTTTCTTTAATAGTCGTTAGGAACAAGAAAGATAATTGTTCTTTTGAGCTGCTTTCAGTGATCCTGAAGGTCAAACACAGTGTAGTCAGTATTATGACAGTTCTGTTTTGGCTCTCTAATCCATTTGTTTTCAAAGTCACAATAACTGTGGGGATAAAGTGCTTACTTTCAGCTTTAAAGCTGCTCTATTTATTTTTATTTTTTTTAAATGAAAGTGAATGAAATTACTAACATGACGGTGGGAACCTGCAGTGATAAGTACTAGTTACTACAATCGCTGACCTGTACTTTAAGCTCATTGTTTTGGTTTTTCACCTCCCAACTTAAGTGTTTTGGGTGACTCAACTGTGTCATTTCCAGCCACAGAAACCTGACAGAACTACTGAGTGCTATTTGAACTGCACCAAGCGGCAGACGAACAAAGCTAGCAACTACCTGACTAACGGCAACATTTCTCATAATGTCACAGACACGGATGTTCCTCTCAAATAGAGAGTGAATACGTTTGGGTCAGGGTATACTTGAAAAGGGGGTAATTAATATGACATGTTGTCTGTATAAAAATGACAAATAGTCAAGTAAGACATGAAAAAGAAGGTCTTGATAGGGGTATTTCTCTGTTCACCTATTGACTGGCTAAAGCTCAAATCAAATCTCTTGTTCCCTGCTAGATATATAACTAAGCATCTGTTTGCGAACATGTCAGAATAGAAGTAAGGGTTCTTGTTTAGCCTGGGGCAAAAAAATGAATGACTGCAGCTTTAGAACAGAGAAATTTCTTCCATTTTACACCCTCAAGAGTTTAAAAAAAAAAAAGAAGAAGATCCCCAGGTTCTTAACTCCCCCAGACCCAGGAAAGTTGGCACTCAAATCAAAGTCTTTGTTTTATTTCAACCCCCCAGCGTGCTGAGGTAGAGCCAAAACAACCAAAACATGTCACTGTCCTAATGCTGGCACACATACCTCATCAGTTTTCAGAGGCTGATTTTTTTTCTAAACAAATGAGTGAAATGTGTTGCTGATAGGACGCTTTCCCCTCCTCCCCCCCACATTTGGACAGTTTTGGTGAGATGCAGATCATGGTCGGGGATGCTCTTTATTCTTCTGGGCTTGGTGGTTGCTTAGCGCAGTGGCGGGAATGGGAACGGCTGAGAACAATATGGGCAAGTCTTTCATCAGACATCTGTCATCTCATCTTCCATCTCATCCCCCTCTGTTTCACCTTCTGCCTCGCCTTCTTCTTCCTCTTCCTCTTCAGATGTCACATCCAGCTCATCCATCTGGGAGACACACTTTGGACACGAGCAGACAAACAGGTAGTTCTCCCTGGGAAGAAAATGTTCCGCCAGTCACATTGTTGCACCTCTAACAATAGCTGAATTAATTAGAAACATTCTGCACTCTGCTGTTAAAACAATCTGGTGCTTTTCTGCAGCTGCTGTGCACTAAAGCAATTGACTGTTTAACACTATAATCATTGCTTGTGGTGCAATTAATCTTTGGATCGGTTGGTGCGATGTTGGGGCCTATAGGAGTTCACACCACCAGCAGGGAAGTGAATGCGCACCTTCTTAAGGCTGTGAATTATCACAGGATGTGCTAAAAACTGTGGCTCAGAGTCTTGTAAAAGGAACACCCCCCCTCGCCCCTTGCCCCGCTCCCTCTATGTTGGGGTATAATTCAAAGATGGACTGACATCACGCTAATCAATGAGCAGCGTGAGCACAGGAGTAGTCATCAGACCCTGTAGTGTCTTTGCCTCAAGACTGCCCATTATTGCTTGAAGGCTTTTTATTGATCCAGATGGAATTCATAACAGTATGACCCCAGTTCAAGTGAATGATCTAAGGGATTACAGATGTTTACCTCAGAATTTTGTGTCTGCTATGTCGGCTTCTGTCCCGCTGACAGCAGTCCAAATAACTGATGCAGATCTCCTGAAAATTGAAGAAAACACACACTGGCTGAAGGACCCAACACATCAATAACATGAAGGTATTCAGCTTTGTAAGCTACAGTTTGGTTCCACAAACAGCCCCTTTCAGACATGCACTCCATGATAATAATCTGATGGCATCTGAACGTGTGGGCTTCATGTCTAAATAGGCACCATGGTAACTTGGTGATGAAAAAAGTTGCAGTCTTACTGGATTAGTAACATTTACGTGTCTCTTTCTATATGGTGCAAGTCTTACTTGCATTTTCAGACATGGAATACATAACATTGCTGGTTTCATCAGTCTGTTAGAGTGACCTGTGGTTCAAACATAGATCAGTTTTCTCTTCATTTTCCTCACAGCTTCATTCAGATGAACCCATGACAGAGACGGAGTGAGCCGCAATATTTGTGCAATGCTGCCTCAGTTGGTTTAAATCTTGTGTCTGTTAATACGCCTTTATGCAGTTCTGACTTGTGCCACATTGAAAGCTAAGGGTAGATGTCACCAGGTCTGACCTAGTAAGGTTGGTGTCACACATTTTACAGAAAACTGCTCAATGAGACATGAAACATACACATTTAGAGGACATCACTGAAAGCAGTGCATGTCTGAAAGAGGCTATGCAGTCGCATTTTCAGACAGATATGCATAAAATTATGACGTACGGCCGTAGGATCTCGTATGTATGGCAAATAGCACGCGCATACTGTGGCTGTCTCCATCACTGTTGCGGGTGTGTCTGAATGAGGCTGTGAGTAACAGTAAGTGACCCGTCAGCCAGCGAGCCCACATATCCCGTGTCGGAAAAGTGCTCTAGCACTGCTATTTTTCAGATGGAAGAAATATTTTTTCCAAGTGTCTTTGTTCTGTTATGCAGGAAGTTGCTCTGTCCTTCCATCTCTCAACTGGTGAAATGTTGTACAAAGCGCTTCTGTCTTTGCCAGCATTCAAAGGAGAGCTTTGCTGTGAAAGTAGCGCGGCTGCTGTGACATTACTGTGCCGCGCAGATGCAAGGCTTCTCAATCTTTCTGACAGCTTGACAAACCCACTCCAATCCTGGAAGTCTCAGCCTTCTAATACCGTCTGACAAGGGAGCACACAAAGCTAGAGAGGGATGTTCTGTCCCATCTATCCCAGGCCAAAATTTATCACTCCAAACCCAGACATGTCAGCTGACCTCTCCTGGGTTGATGTCATTTAGGGCACTGAGGTGAAGCAGGAAATTGTTGTCGGGGAAGGACGCCTCTGCATTGGGTATGCAGCTGTGGTTACCTGAAGGGGTCACAGAAGCCACATGGCAAAAAAAAAGAAAGAGGTCATCCGATGGCCTTTTGGAATAACAGTAACTATGAACTGAAATGAGTGTTTATGACAGAGACATCATCTGCACCTACAGGAGCTTTGAAGCATAAAAAGTCCAGAGCCCTCACAGTTCAGAAAGTCCCCCGTTTCTGCAGAGAAAATGCAAAAATTATGCACATTTCTGACCTTTGCTGGAATCTGCACACAGGTTACATAATAATCACAGCATTGTCATTGGTCTACACTGCGACACATGCAATAATAAACACTCATAGAAACAATGTGACTGTTGAAAATCTGCTCAGTTGAGACAAAAATAATTTACTCCGGAAAAAAACACTGCAAGACTGAGATAAAACTGTGACCTTTTTCAATGTCCTTGTACAGCTGGTCAATAAAAGAGTCCAAATGCTCCCTCTGCTGGGCAGGAAGCTCAAGTACATCACAGGCATGAACCCACTGACTCAAAGAGCTGAAATTGATTAGAGAAACAGCGTTTAAAAAACAGAGAGAACTATTTGAAGTAAACTGAGATCCAGAGCTGGGCCTGTTGATGGTCAAAGTAAAGATCAGGAGCGGCAGGTGTTTACCTGGTGCCAATGCCTTGTCCGTTGGTTCCCACCAGAGAGAACAGAGAGCGGAAACCCTCCGGAACAAACCACTGCAATACAGTTAGACCTTCATTAATCCACGTAGGAGAAGATATTCACATCAATTTGAAACCCTTTATTTACTGGGACACTTGTGGGGGGGGGGCAGCTAAAGCATCACCTGCGTTGGTAGAAGTTCTGTATGTTACTCCAGCAGAAGGCAGCTGGTCTTTTTCTGATTCTTCACCTCTTTTCCAACAGGATGAAACTGCCAGGGGAGGGATGTCAGCACTACATCATATGTGGCTGATAAGTGGTTTTGTAGACCCCCTTATCTGTTTAGAGATGTCGGTTCCAGTTTAACATAGACGGCTTCCCTCACCCCTGTGTTGAACCACCTGTCTTCTCTGTCCAGAATGTGGACACTGCTGTCTTTAAAGGAGTGCCCCTCATCCTTTAGAAGCAGGTGGACAGCTGAGTTTTGTCCTGAGGAGCTGACTGTATTGAGATGTTGTTTCTTCTCTATGTACAGGTCTGTACACTTCTCACCACATCAGACTGCATATACAATATTGCTCAGCATGTCCAGTTTTTGCCTAAGATTGGGTCTGAAGTGCATTGAGACATTGTGTTCGGGGAAGATCCTTCTAAGTTACACTCTGGCTACATACAGGAGGACAATGTTGTTGCGTCTCTTTTGATTTTCCCATCTGACTGATTTCCCGTTTTTTTTGTTTCTTTTTTTTTTGGTTTTGTTTTTTTTTTTAAATCTTTCGCGGACTTATTGAAGGCCCAGTTTTTTTTTCATGCTTTCATAATATGTGTTTTATTTTTTGTTGGAGGGGACATTCTCAGGCCAGAGCTGTAAGGTTCTGATGACCCTTTAGCTTATGTTCCAGTTGGTGGTGGGAGTCAAACAGCAGGTATCGGTCTGTGTGTGTAGGTTTCCGGTAAGTTTCAATGTTGCATAGCACAGTCCAAAGAAAGCAGCTTGCTTTCACTGATGCTGTGCCTTTTTAAACTCAGTGTTACTGTCCATTGAGTTAAAATGTTCTGTGAAGGCTTCTACTTCTTGGGTTATGACTTTGACCCAGGTGTCATCCACATATCTGAACAAGTGGATGGTGTTGTTCCCTTGTAAAAAGCAGAACACTGAGCTCTTTCACGGGAACAACTCCCAGCTACTGGGTCAGAGATGTGGACGACACACGGGTCAAATTTAAAGGCCAAGAAGCAGAAGCCTTTACAGAACACATTAACTCGGTGGATAGAAACACCAAGTTCACAGCAGTGGACGATAGGGAAAACAAACTGCCTCTTTTTGGACTGTGTTGTGCACATTAAAGCATTAACAAAAAAGATTGACCAGAAACCTGCACACAGACTAATGCTCGCTGGTTGACTCCCACCACCCACTTGGTGTGATTGAAACTTTACTGCACCAGGCTGAGGATGCCCCTTCCAACACAGAGGGAACAGAAAAGCAGCACAGGCATGAATAAAACACTGGAAACCTGTGGGCATCCTAACTGGGCCTTCATGAAGTCAGCAAAGAAATATGGGAAAAAAAACACTGCCACATCAGCAGAGACAAAAATAAGACCAGGTGGAACAACGCTGGCTGAGTCTCTGAGAAACACAACGTACTAGTGAACTGTAGACCCAGCACACACTGTGAGACAGGAAGTGGTTCACCCTGAGAATAAAACACCCAAACACAGGCTGAGCAACATTTATACATATATGCAGTCCAATGCAGCATAGAGTGCACTGACCTATATGTGGGGGCGACTTACCAACAGCTCATCAGCACAAGGCTCAACAGTCCACCTGCATCTGAAGGGGACTCATTTAAGGACGGAAATGTCAGGGCAGAGAAAACAGATGGTCTGAGGAAGAAGTTAAGTCAGCCATATAAGCACAACACCCACATACAATGCAGTCCTGACATGTGTCCCCAGGCAGTTTCACCACCATCCACACAACAGTTAGTTAGAACTAAGAAAGCCTCTTGGATAAAAAGTGAAATGTCATCAAGAGCCGAAAAGAAGTCGAGCTGCTTTCTAGAGGAGCGTTTAGGAGTGAGTTGACTAGTTTGAGTCCCCACAAAACAACTTCTGGTACCATCTTCTTAAAAGTGAATACTTTCATTAGAACTTAAACACTCGGTTTTTGGACCGTTGATTAGACAAATCATCATCATCTTGAACTCTGGGAAACTGTAAGAAGCATTTTAGACAACCGGCTTTAAAATGTAAGAAAGTATTGAAAAATGCACTCAGGATGGCACCATTGATTTGTCCAACCGACAGTCCAAAACTCAGAGATATTTATCTGAAAATGATATAAAATGTGCATCTGAGAAGCCAAGATCAAATAATATTTAGTGTTTTTACATGCAAAACTACCTCAATTATCAGCAGATCTAGTATCTTTTGGATTTGAGCTCTCAGACAGAAAATCATTTCAGCCTCTGGGAACTTACAAAAGGACATTTTCCTCCATTTTCAAATTGTCATCTAATTAAATGATAATGACTAAACTCATTAACTGCAGTCCAACTTATCATAATATAAAACAATGCTTTGCAAGTGGCAGCCGTGTGACACATGATCTGATGGGTTGTTTTTCAACCTCGCACACTCAGAAAATCAGAAAACACCAACACCACTGCACGACTAAGATTTTAGGAGCCTTGACATTTACACAGAAAGTGATATAATAGGCAGGACAGGATTTAGGAGGCAGAGAAGGCCAAATAAAATCAGATCTGTCAGTTCAAAGTTCACCTCTGAGCTGCAGTAATTAGCTGTCCTGAGAAACAACCGCTTTTTGGCAGCTGTGCAGCATTTGGTGAAAAAAAAAAAAAAAGTGCTGAATAAATGTGAATTACTAGCTCGAAAACAGGAACAAACGCTGAATGTTTTCATTGGAGACATACTCACCCTGCTGAGATGGTCATCATAAAGTGCTGCTGTGAAAAGGCTGTGTAACAAGGCCAGCTGTCCCTGTAAAACCAATGTGAAATAAATAAATATTACACTGTACGTGACAGAAAATATACATCACAAGCATAGGTGGCCACAGTGGGAGGTGAAACTCTCTAAGGGGTAAAGTAACACTGGCAGGCTTTGCTTACTGAGCTGTGAAGAGCAGCGATTACCATATGAGCATGATATTGTCTTTGAACTGGCAGCCTTTCTGCTTTTCGCAACAATTTCATATCCGCAGCAGAAACAACATGAAGGTAACTTACTCTGAACTGTTCTCCCAGAAGCTTATGTGCGATCTCTTCTTCCTCGTTCGCCGTCCGGCTGCAGAAGTGGGAGAACAGCTTCTGCCAGTGTGCTTTATCTTTGGCCTGGACAACATCAGGAACATTGTGGCATTTAGTTTTATTGTTGGAGCGTTTCTTTAATACACACAGCTCATGTTTCTCGGCATATTGTGAAGAATAAGTGTGTTTGAAAAGAAAGGGAACTAAGAAAACCGATTCAATCCATCTGCACATGAGTGACTCGCATCCTCTGATAGGAAACAACACTTTAAAGTTTCAAGTTAAAGTTTTAAACCATGGTATATATGACGCACAAATTTGGTTTGTTATATTAAAGGTTTGTAAAATCACCGTATATCATATTGTAATTGGTTTACTGTCAGGCTGGTAAAAAGGTTTTCATCAGCCTTTGACCTTATAAAACTTTATTGTTTACAGCATCTGTACCAGTCAGGCCAAAGTTTATTTCAAGTTTCGTTTCACCGTCTAAATCCCCAAACCTGCCAGCAGGTTTGAAAAACGAAGAAGATGAAGAAGAAGAAGAAGAAGAAGAAACTGTGTGAAATGTGGTTCTGTCAGGAAAATTGTGATATGTCATCAAAAGCCCTGTAATCTCTAGTCTCATATAGTGTCACGTGACAAATTCCTTAAAACCATCGTTTCAATAAACCACAGCCTCAAAACAGTATACAACAGAGCAAGTTGTTTGAAACTACATTCTACATGGTAAATCTCTAGAAATACTTTGCAGAGCTGATGTGCAGAGCAGGATGAATAAACGCCTAGTTTGTAGAGGTTGAAAAAAAAATGTGAAGTCTATTTCATGTGAAGTCCCCATTGTTGCCCCTATATGGGTAACACATGGGGGGAAAATCAAGAAATAGCATTAAAGAAATAAAGACATTTAACTTCCTTCTCTTTTTTCATGTTTAGGATTTATGGCATAACTGAAAAATACTATACAAAACACATTTCTGAGTTCTCTGTACTTCTAGCCATGACGTGCTCCCTATATTACTATATTACAGTAAAAAATATATTTTTGAAAAAACATTCAGAGCTTTCATAGGATTTAGATGCTTAAAATTGTAGAGTTTGACTTAAAAAAAAACAAAAAAAACAATGCAGACTATAAAAATCTAGTTGTATGCAGCGTGTTATGTCCTTTAAAGTGTTTGTATTGCTTTTCTATTATTTCTCAAGAATATTCACATTGATATCTACAGGATGAGCACATGCAGCAGAATATTTTTATCCACTACATTAAGAGCTACAAGTAATCAGGGGCTCACCTGTTTGACCAAAGCTACCATTCTGGCCATCAGCATGATGCTGGAGGTCTCGGGGGGATAATGCATACTCCTGTGAGAAGGCAGAAGGTCTTAGATGAAATGAATGAAAACTTCAATAGAAGTCCCACAAGAGACTGAAAACATCAGAGTTATTTCATGTCAACTCACATAACCTTCTCACTTCATGTCGTGGATTTTATTGAAGAAAAAAAAACCTGTGAAACCTTCTGTTTAGTTCATGGAACCTTGCTCTGCTCCAAATGTTTCATTTATGACTTTTCCAAGTTTGGCCCTCAGAGCTACATTTCATCATCTTTGCGATTCCTTCTAAGCCTCACCGATGCTTATGTCTCACTGGCTGGAAAATTTCTCTGAACATCCACAAAACCCAGAGGATAGTTTCTAGCGAAGCAGCTGTTGCTGAGTGTTTTACAGCAATCAAATTAATTCAGATTTATTTGCTACCTGACGAAGAGTCTTTGGCTTTCAAATGTATATTTTCACAGGTTTTCACTTTCTTGCAGACAGATTTGGATTCTGTTTGTTAATACCATTTTGTCATGTCAGGTTATTTGGATATGGGAGAAAAAAATGCCTCAGATCTCCCTAAATAAAGCTTCAGACTGACACTTTTTAATGTAAACTGACTGCACGTTTTCCCAAGACGGATCATTTTTGATTCCTTAAGATTTTTTATTAAACACTGTTAATTATTCGTTGCATATACATGAAAAAATGTAAGATATTCTATCACTTCTTCACATATAGATTTAGTTTGTTTGTTTGTTTTGTTGCTGATTTCAAGTCTTTTTATGTAATTGCACTACTTACACTCACCAGCCATTTTACTCGGTCCACCTGTGAAATCTAATGTCATAAAATAGAACAACTCTGCCATAAATTCTACCTTACAAAGCTTCTTGACCGTCAGTTTTCACTGATGTCGAAATAGTGATATTTTGCTTTATGTTTACTATTTATAGTGTGTGATGGTTAAAAATTCATACAGAGAAATTGAAAAATATTATATTACGCCATCATTTCTTAATTTCATGTCAGCAACAAAAAACTGCAACATCGGCAACGTCAACAAAAACTAAACATGAAGAAGCTTTGTTAGAGGAGAATTTATGGCTGAGTTGTTGTATTGGATTGTATCAGATTTCACAGACGTATCTAATAAAGTGGCCGCAGAGTTTAGGTGTCACACAGAGATAGAAAACCTGAAGCCAACAAAAAACAAATAGCTATCTATGAAATAACACCACTGAAAGTAATATTACAAAAAAATGTGCCTTTTTCAATACATATTAAATGGTGAAAGAGTCATACAACATTTTTCAGGTTTCTTTTGAAAGTCAGGTGTTCCAGCTTTGAAGCTATTTTTATCTGGATGTGCAGAAGGGATTTCTTGATGCAGGACCAAATAACTTCTACATATGACAGAACTATATTAATACTAGACAGAATCAAAAGTTGTTGGAAAGAAAACAAGCACAAGTAGAGACTCATTTTTGAAAATTGAAGATTCTTCCTTCAGGCTCCGAGGGCCGAACTTCATAAACTCATAAATAAAAGATTGTCTGGAGTCGAAATTTAGGATTTTGCGAGGTCCCATGAACTTAACAGAAGTTTTCACATTTACTTTTGGCAAGAAAAATCCATGGTGTTATCTCTGAGGGTTGTGTGCTCTCTCACCTCCACGCGTCTTTGAGCTTGTTGATGGGGTGGTCTGGATCTTCCTGAGAGGCTCCCAGACACAGAGCCCGATGGTACTGATCCGCTGCAGCCTGTCGACACTCGCTGCTGCAGTACATCACCTGCAGAGCGGTGTGGATTCACACGAACCAGGAAACAAGGAAAATGCGTTTTATTTTTTTTAAATATGTGTGAATAATTGCAAGTGACGAAACAAGTAGGTCTCACACCACACAGCACTGCTTCCTCACCGCTAATTATAAACTACAAGTCTGCACCTAACAACACCGGAAATTAGCTGTACGGCTTATTACTCCCTCAGTCTGCCACACTGAATAAAGCGATGCACTAATGCACAAACTTCTAATAAAATATGAATTGCTATGCATAGATCTGTGGACTGGACTTTTTGTTTTTAACCAAGTTTCCTTTTGGAAACAAAGTCTGACAGTAACACATTTTCCCTGAGAAAAGAAATTCACTGCAGCAGTTTTTGACAATATTAAAGAATATAAACCATTTGTGGAACATCATCATCCATTCTGAAAAGCGGAGCTGATAAATCTGCAAACAGCACAGGTGATAATGAGAGAGGAATGAGCTCTCTATGGGTACTGTACAGGTTCAGGACACCGAAGCAAAAGTCCTGAAATTCTGTTTAATTCACTTTGTGTAGTTGGAACTCAGCCGGTTTGCTCGTGGCACTGAAGCAATAACATCCATACTAAGTGAAAAACCACCAAGGGTAAAGAGTTTTCTCTGTCTTTCTTTGTTTCATAAAAAATAGATTGATTGATTGATTATTGCTCCGCAGTGTCACTGCTTGCTCCTAAAAACTGGTCCTGTGGTCCTTCACTGACACAGTCGGTGCTCCTCTTTGACCGCTGCAGGCTCAAAGTTAATACGTTAGTCAGACCACTTTTTCTGATTTTCATGAGAAAAAAAAAATTAAAAGTTCTTCAGAAAGGCCTTTAAGAATCAACAACAGGCAGGCGCCACGATAGCTGAGGCAGTGGGTTCGAGTCCCGCTCATCGCCCTTTCCTACAAGTCCTTCCCCCACTCTTCTACCCACTTTCCTGCCTCTCTCTCTCTCAACTGTCCTATCTAATAAAGGCAAAAAGGCCAAAATAATAACTTAAAAAAAAAAAGAGTCAACGACAGTCAAGTCAGGACTCGACCAATTCATGTCCTGGTCAGACTCACCTGGCACTGAGGACAGGCCTGGTGCAGCTCTGGTCGAACACGACAGAGCTCAGGGTGAGGAAGGCTGAGGCCAGGGTTGCCGCTGAGTCTCCTCGCATTCTCCTCTGCAGTCTCCAGAGCACGTAAGCAATGCTCACAGGCTGTGAAAGCAGCGAGCAGTAGAGCAGCGGTTAGACAAAACAGTTTTAAAAATTGGTATTCACCTCCAATGGAAGCTTCCCCTTTTACTGCTAATTAACAGTTCATTCATTTTCCTGTCAAGAATTTACCCCAAAAAAAGACTGAAGTCAAAGTGAAACAGATTTCCACAATGTAATGTTATTTAATCACAATGTAAAACGTCCATGTTGAGATGCTGTTTGTATTTACAGACAAATTAAAGGAACAATAATTGTCCCAGTGAGGTGTTGGTCCACTATGAGCTACCAGAACAGCATCAGTACTGCTTGGCATTGGTTGAGATCTGGTGACAGTGAAGGTCATAGCAGGGATTCACATCGTTTTCATATTGGGAGCATTTTCATACTATTTAGTGACCCTTTGTGCTCTACGAACTGGAAGAGCCCACCCCCATCAGGACAGACATGTTCCATCACAGGATCAAGGTGATCACTCAGAGCAACTTTGTATTGATTTGAAGTGATCCTTCCCTCTAAGGTGACATGTGGATTTAAACTTCACCAGCAAAACGCCTCCCATAACTTAACAGAGATCCCTTCGCTTTAGAAGCCACAAGTTCCGATTTTTCCTTTAACCCTATTCAGGACTTTCATGTCGCCATAGGTAGGAGGTCTTTCAGGGTCCATTGAACCCCAAGAAAGAATATGTGCAAAATATTTGTTTGTATTCATTTTAGATTTTTATAGTATATTAAATGCATTTTCTGATAAGTTGATGTATTGTTGGTTCCAAATGCATCACAAATGTCTCTCTTTTTATACTAAAAAAAATCTTAAAAAATAAAATACCTGTCACCTAAACCAAATGGACTGGGGTCCAAAAGACCCCAAAAGTCCTGAATAGGATTAAAGTGTCACCCTGATAGATTCATGCAACAGAGAGTGTCATTCCTCGTTAATCAAAGCAAACACACAGATTGAAAGTCAGTTACAAAGTCCTGTGAGTAGCTCTCAGTTTATGTAACAAAATGTGAAAACCTGCTCAGCGTTTTACTTTCACTTTAATAAATTGTGTTGTTGCATTTCAGTTCAGCCGACATGCAGCACGTCGTCGACATCTCACCTTTATATTTATACAAAGCATTCCACAGGAACTGGGCAGCGACCAGAGGCCGCTCAATGAAAATGGTGTCTCCCTTCTTGATGCTCTTTTTGGCGAAGAGACCCTTGCCCTGAAACATGAATAACAAACCATTACTGCTGTCATCAGTCTAGAGTGTGAAACACAGCAGGATTCTTTATAACCCACCAACAGCAGAATCACCAGATCAGTTAGTTAACTGTGGGACGAAAGAAAGACAAAAAGACACCCATAATCCCTTCATCTCCGCACCGTGAGAAACAGAAGCTCATCACTGATGTTAATACACAGAGAAATAAAATCACTGTCAGAACCACAGTGACAGCTGACACAATTAGTCGATTAACCAGAAACACTTAAGTGGAAATTTATTTTGAGGCAAGACAGAGTATTCAAGTAATTCATTAAGAAAAAAAAATGCAAGTACACAATGTGGATCTGATATTCTGTTGTAAATCATTCATTTTCTATATTTTTTGGTGGGATTGTGGCAAAACCAGATCAATGCAGGCAGATCAAGACAATCAGAATATTGGATTAAGAATAGCATTTGTATCATCAATTTTAGACATAATCCCAATTTTTTTTTTCCGAAGTTTCTTGTTTCTCACTACTACTATAACAACTTTTCTTTCAAAACGGTGGCCTTTAAAGTGAAGGACTTGAAGAGAAATATTAGACATCTTTGTAAAAGTGATTTTGCTTCCTTCCAGGAGTCAGACGTTACCGGTTTGTTTCTGCGCTTACACTGAGCTGTGTGATCATCCAACAGCAGATAGTGGTCGATAGTGTGGCTATAAATGTGGTTATTATTTAATTTTCTTTCATTAAGGATTGACAAGTGTATCCTATATGTTAAAGAGGTAAGAAAATAAGCACTGAGGCACATTTTCTTAGCATTTAGAGAATCTGAACCAGCTCCTATCATGGTTAAACCCTTTGTCGACATCCGACATATTACCAATCTGTTAAAGTGACGGCACTCTGTCATTCAGACACAAGTCACTTTACTATTAATGATATTCATGGCCTCATTTAGACCCACAATAGTGATGGAGAGAGCCACAAGACTGGACAGGACATCAAGAGACATAATGCATAATAACACAATACTAAACAAAAGACTAAATCCGCTGTGACTCTCAAATGCCTGGAGTGAAGAAAAGTACAAAGTCTGCTTGGCCACGAAAACCTGTCTACATGTCAGCAACAATTTTAAATTACAGGTAATTAATGAAGTTACCGCTACACGTGTAAAAGCAGACAACACTCTGACTTACAGGTCCAACCTCCATGATGGTTGTTTTGTGTTTTACAGAAAACAGAGCAGAGGGTGCACATTGAAACACACTCAGACATTGTCAGACTAACGGGAATGAGTGCGTGTCTGAATGGGGCTTTTCACTGAGGAATCTTCAGAAACAAAAGAAAAAACTGTTCAGCTGCAACCTCAGTGAAGAAGAAGAAGAAGAAGAAGGTTGAATATTCAATTTCTGTTGTGTTGTTTTAAAGTAGCATCAGCATGTCTTGCATCTTGATTGTAACAAAACCATCATGAACACTAAAGAGCTGGTGAAAGATTTCAGGAGCCACAGGTCCACTCCAGACCCAGTCACGAGCAAGGAAACAAAGGGAGACTCTGACAAGAAGATTACAAGTCCCTCTATGTCCACATAGACAACAACCTGGACTGGAGTGGAAACACTGAGGCGCTGCACAAGAAAAGTCAGAGCTGCTGTTTTGTTTTGTTTTTATTCTCAGTAGATCTTCTGCAGAGCCATGTTGCAGGCAGCAGGGTGAAGGCAGCTGATGCTAACAGACTCAACACAGTCATCAGAAAAGCTGGTTCTGTCCTCAGACTGTTTGGTGGACGATGCTGAGGAAACTACTAAACATAATGGACGACGTCTCTCATCCCCTGCAGCCACATCTGAGCAGAACGCCACAGGAGGTCTTTTCTACCATCAAACTGGACAACCCATCCTTCTTCTGCAGGAATCAGACACTCAAATCTGAACAATCGCTTAAATGTCATTAGCATGATTACTTTTTCCAATAGTTTGTGCAACATCAGTATAATGCTAATTATTTCATTTTCATATACAATAGGTGTAGTGTGCAATATTTAATTTTTCATGTCTAATATTCTAAATTCACACGCAATATGTTATTATCATGTGCAATATTATTTTACTGCCAAAGTATCCTTGCTAGTATTTATTTATGAAATGTGTCATACTTGTATTATTACTTCTTTATTCGGGCACTGCATTCTCATTTTGTTCTCTGAGCAACATCTGACACAACAGTTACCTTCGGGATTAATAAGGTTTTATGTTATTCTTATGAGAAATAGTGATTCCCATACAGTGGGATTCATCTTTGACAGAATGACTGTTATTAGCTCATCATCTTGTTCATGCTGAGCAGTTTCTGGTTTGATGGCTGAAATAAACCATTCAACGCGTCTCAGTGAGGAAGCAGAGTTAACAACGTTTAAAGGCTCCAGTTGGGATCACATGAGCCCAGTTTAATGAAACCAGGCACATAAAAAGGAGCTGAGGTCCAGGTCTGTCTGTCAGTCAGTCAGTCATTCAGTGTGTCTGTGAGCTGGACATGCAGCGACCAGCAGCGCTGCAGCTCTAAAGCCGCCTCCAGCCTCAAGTTGGTCTAAATCAGTGTATCGAGGCCAAGCAGAGCCGCTCTCACCTTGGTGTTGTCGATAAATCGGACTTCCACGCAGCCGGCAACTTTGCCGGGATCCACGCAGAAGAAAAACATGTCATCCAGGGGAGCCGCCATGTTTCCACACGACCTTTCCTCTCTGAACCCCTACCTGCGGCTTTATCTGCCTGGACAGCCTGCAGCGACCCCCGGCGGCCGCCAGGAGAACTGCAGCTCAAAGCTCAGCGCTGCTGTACTGAAGGAAAGAAAACTAAACCTGTCATTCAAGTGTCTTCTGCACAGTGTCAGCATGAAGCCAGCTTGTGGATCAATAAAAAAAATAAATATAAAAAAAGGTTATCAGGCGTTTGCACAAGTAAAAATTCAATTCACTTCATTTTTTTGGTATATTCTTACATAATTATTTATTTTGTGCTGCTGTGATAAAACAATTTCCCTTGTGGATCAATAAAGTTTATTTTATTTTATTTTACTTTATTATTATTATTATTATTATTATTATTATTATTATTATTATTATTATTATTTCTTTTATTGTCTTTATATACTTGGCAAGAAACAAACAAACAAAGACAAAACAACAACCCTCCCCAAAACAAACAAACAAACAAACAAACAAACAAACAAACAAACAAACAAACAAACAAGCAAACAGCTGTAACATTGTTAATTGTAAATTGTACATATGGAAATC